CTTTTATAAAAATGTCTTATAAATTTTGTCTTTTCCTATCTATTATTAAATTCTGTACCACAAAAATTTATATATATATATATATATATATATATATATATATATATATATATATATATATATATATATAATTAAATAGAAAAAAACAGACAAACTTATGTCCATTAATTATATTTTATTTCCTCAGGAAAGTATTTTTCCTGGTCCCTTAGATCACATTTACAAGCAACTTGTAAGTTCTTGGAAATGTCATCTGAGGAACCAGGAAAAAACACTTTCCTGGGGAAATAAAATATAATCAATGGACACTTAAGTTTGTCAGCTTTTTAATTTTAATTTTAATTAAATTAATATTCGCCCAGGTTTTACATTGAGGTCTCTGAATTACATCCTCCTTGGGATTATCCATACAGATTACCAAACTTTTCATTACCTAACTATATATATATGTGTGTGTGTGTGTATGTGTGTATGTGTGTGTGTGTGATTAAAACAAATATAAAATTGATCACTTAGCTGACTGATGTCATCTTCAGCATCCCGACTCCAGAGTTTCGTAGATGAGTTCTCTCCAGCAATCACTCCGTCCACTCGTCAGGGGACACACACACATGCATAAAAACATCCACACACACACTTCATATATATATATATATATATATATATATATATGTGTGTGTGTGTGTGTGTGTGTGTGTGTGTGTGTGTGTGTGTGTGTCTATCTGTCTGTCTGTGTGTTTGCAGGCTGCACTACACTACTTTTCAAGAGGGACCTGAAACTGACTGTTTAAAGAGGAGTCACGAAAACCTGGAAAAGGCGAAATCAACTGTTGGTCATCATAAGACAATGAGGGAAGTAGAGAGAGAGAGAGAGAGAGAGAGAGAGAGGAGGAGAGGAGGAGAAGAGAGAGAATATATATATAGAGAGAGCAATGTCAAACCTTAATTCCACTTCTTCAGAAGAGAGTGCCATCCAACGATTAAAAGTGCGCGCTACCATTATCTTCATAAATGGATGCCTAGTACCGTTTTAAGTCATCCTCTTATGTAATAACCATTAATTTTCATTGATTTAATTAATTACTAGGACTTTAAAACAATTTATATATTACTACACCACCTATAAACCGTTTTGGCTTCCTTTTAAAAGCATTTTATGATACAAAATGATGAGGTAACATTATTATCAATTTTATTATTAATCACATATTTTAATTTGTATTTGCAATACAAGTAATAATTATTATTACTCGCATTATACAATATTACTTAGATCAAAAGAAAAACTAAATTAATAAATAAAATGTCTTTCAGAATTTGTGAAAAATGCAGTCCTTGATACACAGAACAACAAAATAAACGACCAAACTTTGAAGATATTAAGATTATTAATATATCATTGAAATAAATTTAATTGTTTTAACAAGTCATATATTTTCTTAATGCTGGAAATTCAATGACATATGTTAACTAATCAAGCAACAGACTTTCAGAAAGAAAAATAAATTAAGAAAACCAGAATAACTTAAGCCGATTATTGTTCCTGTTGTTACCTAGTTTTAAGTGGAAACATTACTTTAATGTAAGCATCCCTTTATTGCAAACATTGCCCTGCAGGAAAAGTTTCTTTTTTTTTTAGAATGGAGTTTCAAACTTATACCGATTTTAGCATTTGCTATATAATTTTCAAAAGTGAAGGCCACTAGAAAAACGAAATAAAAAAAGCAGAACAAACAGCAATCGTCTGCTTAGGGAGATACATATTTATTGAAACAAGATAAAGTATGGACGCCTCCTTTTTGTGCACTTAGTTTCATTGTTTTCTCCGTATTTTTAAAAAAATAATAATTATATTTTTATTATACATACTTCTTTCTTTCTCACATTTATTTCGAAATACGTAACGAGTACATGTATTTATTTATTTACGATCAAGTCATGTGACACAATTTTCCAAATTACGTTTTACAATGAGAAACGCACATAGCGTCTTAACGTATGAATTACTTACCAAACGTCCGAGATATTTGTTTATAAAAATAAAGTTCTAATTTAGTGTAGTGAATTGTATAAATATATATTGTGTTATGTATATTTAAATTTATTTAATATTGTTATGATGTATTATGCATGTTTTTCCACGCATATAATAGTTGGAATCACATTATGAAATGGACAAAGTCCGACAATTATTTTAAGACATTTTTTAATGTTTATACATTTTTTATAGATACAAATATTTAAGTAAATGCTCTGTTTATAATAAACAACATTTACCGGCCTGAATGAAGGACGAATATTTTCTATGAAAATTTCTCGGACATTCAGGCCGGTTAATGTTATTTAATACTGTTTATTATAAACAGAGCATTTACTTAAATATTTGTATGTATAAAAAGAATGTATAAACATAAAAAATCTCTTAAAATAATTGGACTTTGTCCATTTCATGTGTGACGTCATTTGTTTACATTTGGATACGCTTTGAGCAGATATGAATGTACGTGAGAGATTCATGGAAGATTGAAGTTTAAAAGCAGTAAATTCGACCCTGCTAACCGAACGATCCTCTATGCACATCAAGCTAAATGACGGTTCCGTATAGGATACAGGTTCGAATCCTGTCGGAGGACGAATATTTTCTATGAAAATTTCTCGGACATTCACGCCGGTAAATGTTGTTTAATACTGTTTATTATAAAACAGGGCATTTACGTAAATATTTGTATCCATAAAAAGAATGTATAAACAAAAAAAATGTCTTAAAATATATAATATTCAAGTGTTTGTTCATATACGCGGATTGACATAAGAATGCGTATTGGAAACAAATACTGAATTTCCTATTAAAATGCCATATAAATGGTAAAACGACGCTAGCTCAAGAAGTCCTTGTCTAATTTTAATGAAATTTGGCACTGCACCCGGGAAGAGGTCACGGTATAATATGCTTCTAAATTGCTTGGGGTATTATGTTTTAAACTGTACCTCACTTTAACCTGTAACACAAATACATACATACAAGATTAGAGTTTTAGTATTAGATAAATTATGCATACCCCACGCTGTGCCTCGCTTCTTAGTCTGTGCTCAAAAAATAAAAAAAAATGGGAAAACGTGAAATATGACCACAGCCAGAAATGACAAGGCGGTTAGTGTTTCCAATATATCTGATTGTTCATTCATGGATTCACTTATACGGTCAGTGGAGTATGCATCTAATAGTTGGGACATCATCTGTTACGTCTGTTATGACAGATCTTCCCTTAGACCGACTCATCTGCTGCGTCTTTGCTAATCTCTACATCACGATGTGTGACTCGTAATTCCGTTCTGGCGCACAGTCCGGAACTTTCTCTCGATAGACAGTTTGTACTCCTGCAACGGGTGCCATAGAAACTACATTCAATTCTATAATTGACTGTTTATATAATCCTACAAGCGGAGATTTCTAACCTCCGGCCAAGTAGTACTTGTTCTTGAAAATTTTTATTTATTTATTTTATTCCTGTTTGGTTAGTGGGCTGCCGCTTTGAAAACCGCGTTTTTTTCTGATGATCATGAAAACTCTTCCCACATCAGACTCGGATAAAATCATTTAGGCCCCACTTGACTTCTTGCGCCTTCTAATAACGGTCAGATCCCGTTGTATCGCATTGTAAAACTTTGATAGCTTTGTGAGATGTCAGAGCACAACCTGAAATTTTCACTCAGTTCTTAGGCTATACTCATATTCAGCTATCCGGTGGACTACATCATATTCATTAATAGTCATATTTAGCTTCCCCCTCCACGAGGGTTACATATGGCACAAGGCCGGGTTTAACGTGGGATTTCCGAGCCCGTAGGCTCAGCCAAAAATATTCCCTCTTTGAACCCGCATAAACGGGTTCAGGGGCAGTCAACCAACCCGAACGACACTCTGCCCTTCGGCGGAGCATCGTTCGGGTTCCTTTCCGCCCGAAAGCAGAGAGTTAGACTGTTACTTAGCCTGGAGTTTTGCCAAGTTCATTAATAGTTCATACGGATGTTCTCGAACATGAGTAGAATTATCAACTGGATTTTGTTCTAAAAAATGCAGAATAACAGTCTCCTTTTTGTGCACGCATATTTTGGATAATTGTTCATTTAAGATTTGATTTATTTATTAAATATGCTGAGCGGACCTTCGTTACAGTTTCTGGTAGCGTATCATCAGCAGTTTGACCCAAACCAGTACACTCAAACCCTCGATCACGATGACTTCTGACTTCATGCTAGAATAATTGATAAATGATTCTGTCTACCCAGTTTCACTCACAAGGCTTGGGCCAACCCCCGGCAGAGGTTTCAAACATTTTCCAACGTTGTCGTATGCTGGGATCGTCTCCCCAAAACCGATAGTTATCTTCTTGACAAATCGGCCTTCAATTCGAACCCGGGTCTCATGATCGGGAAATCGAACGTTCTAAGCACTGTATACGGATTATAGATATACTGGAAAATTCATTTCGACTTACAAATTGAACGGGACGCATTCAGTAGATATCAGGGAAATAAAAGAATGAGCGAATAGGAAGAAGACTCGATGGCGGCCGATTCTATTCCTCTGTCTCAGTCCCCGCTGGTTTCTTTGCGCCACAAGCTAGTTTTCTTCTCTCTTTGCTCATCCATCTGATGTCATCTTGGCATCAGAGCTGGCTTCGTGAATTCGTATTTGTTTCGGGAGTCGGTGACGGAGGCGGGGGTGGAGGGTTCTCTAACGGAACCATCACGGCCTACGGATCAGTTCATGTTGCCACAAAAAAACGGGGGACATCATAGCATACAAAGACAGAAATAGATTCATAGAGAGAGTGAGGGTGGGAGAGTGAGTGAGAGCGAGGAGGGGGTGAGAGAGAGAAAATGAGAGGAAAGAGAGAGAGAGAGAGAGATACCGGTCCTCTTTCCCACCCCAGAGAGGTCAGTTGCACGGGCGACAGGGTTTTATTACTTAATTAAATCAGAGGATGGAATGAGCATTAGAAGCGTGCAGAATAGAAGTGGGAATTGGCAAAGAAAGAAAGAAAGAAAGAAAGAAAGAAAGAAAGAAAAAAAAAGAAAGAAAAAAGAAAGAAAGAAAGTGCAAAAATAGTAAGAGAGAGTGACATTGAAAAGAAAAGTGACAGAGAAGAGAGAATGAAAGAAAGACTGAAAGAATGCAAAACCGAAAAGAAAATTATATGAGAGCAAAACATGAAATAAAATGATGAAAGATAGCGAGATGGAAACAGTGATAGAATAACACATGAAAGAAAGAAAGAAAAAAAGAAAGAAAGAAAGAAAGAAAGAAAGAAAGGAAGAAAGAAAATGTACGGAAATCTAAACACGGCAAAAAAATGAAGAAAAAGAAAAAAGCGAAAGAAGGTAATAAAGAATGAAAGCAGGGGTGGGGGGGGGAGAAGGAAAGGGAGAATAAAAGCAAACAGGAAAAGGAAGAAAGAAAATAAAGACAGAAAGAAAATAAAGACAGAAAGAAAAAAGCAGGAAGAAAAAAAATAAAAGAGAAAAAGAAAGAATGAAACACGGAGAATAAAATGAAAAGAAATTAAAAAAATAAAACAAAAGGATGAAAGAAAACGAGGAGCAAAAATAATAATATAACACTTGAAAATAGAAGAAATATGAAAGACTAAAAACAAAGAAATAAAGACAGTAAAACGTAGTAAAATATGAACTAAGAAAAGAAGAAGAAGGGAATGAAAGCAAGGAGGGAAAGAAAAAAGGAGTGACAGTCAGCAGGGGAAGAAAAAAGGAATGAAAGCAAAAAGGGAAAGAAAAAGGGAATGACAGCAAGATGTGAAAGAAAAAAGGAATGACAGTAAGCAGGGAAAGAAAAAGGGAATGAAAGCAAAGAGGGGAAGAAAATAGGAAAGAAAGCAAAGAAAGGAAGAAAAAGGGAATGAAAGCAAAGAGGGGAAGAAAAAGCGAATGACAGCAAGATGGGTAGAGAAAAAGGGAATGACGGTAAAAAGAAAAAGAAAATGGGAATGACAGTAAGCAGGGAAAGAAAAAGGGAATGAAAGCAAAGAGGGGAAGAAAATGGGAATGAAAGCAAAGAAAGGAAGAAACGGGGAATGAAATCAAAGAGGGGAAGAAAAAGCGAATGACAGCAAGATGGGAAAGAAAAAAGGCATGACGGTAAAAAGGGAAAAAAGGGAATGACAGTAAGCAGGGAAAGAAAAGGGAATGAGAGTAAGCAGGAAAAAAAGGGAATGACAGAAAAGAGGGAAAGAAAAAGGGAATGACAGCAGGATGGGAAAGAAAAAGGGAATGACGGTAAAAAAGGAAAGAAAAAGGGAATGAAAGAAAAGAGGGGAAGAAAAAGAGAAAAAGAAAGAAAATGTGAATGACAGTAAGCAGGGAAAGAAAAAGGGAATGACAGCAAAGAGAAAAAGAAAAAAGGAATGACAGCAAGATTGGAATGAAAAAGGGAATGACGGTAAAAAGGGGAAGAAAAAGGGAATGACAGTAAGCAGGGAAAGAAAAAGGGAGTGAAAGCAAAGAGGGGAAGAAAAAAGGAATGACAGCAAGATTGGAAAGAAAATGGGAATGACGGTAAAAATGGAAAGTAAGAGGGAATGACAGTAAGCAGGGAAAGAAAAAGAGAATGACAGCAAGATGGGAAAGAAAAAAAGAAATGACGGTAAAATTGGAAAGAAAAACGGAATGACAGTAAGCAGGGATAGAAAAAGGGAATGACAGCAAAGAGGGAAAGAAAAATGGAATGACAGCAGGATAGGGATGAAAAAGGGCATGACGGTAAAAAGGGAAAGAAAAAGCGAATGACATGAAGCAGGGAAAGAAAAAGGGAATGAAAGTAAAGAGGTGAAGAAAAAGGGAATGAAAGTAAAGAGGTGAAGAAAATGGGAATGACAGGAAGCAGGGAAAGAAAAAGGGAATGAAAGCAAAGATTGGGAAGAAAATTGAATGACAGGAAGATGTGAAGAAAAAGGGAATGACAGCAAGATGGGAAAGAAAAAGCGCATGACGGTAAAAAAGGAAAGAAAAAGGGAATGACAGTAAGCAGGGAAACAAAAAGGGAATGAAAGCAAAGAGGGGAAGAAAATGGGAATGACAGGAAGCAGGGAAAGAAAAAGGGAATGACTGTAAGCAGGGAAAGAAAAAGGGAATGAAAGCAAAGAGGGGAAGAAAATGGGAATGACAGGAAGCAGGGAAAGAAAAAGGGAATGAAAGGAAAGATTGGGAAGAAAATTGAGTGACAGGAAGATGTGAAGAAAAAGGGAATGACGGTAAACAGGGAAAGAAAAAGGGAATGACAGTAAGCAGGGAAAGAAAAAGGGAATGACAGCAAGATTGGAAAGAAAATGGGAATGACGGTAAAAAGGGAAAGAAAATGGGAATGATAGTAAGCAGGGAAAGAAAAGGGGAATGAAAGCAAGGAGGGAAAGAAAAAGGGAATTACAGCAAGATGTGAAAGAAAAAGGGAATGGCGGTAAAAAGGGAAAGAAAATGGGAATGATAGTAAGCAGGGAAAGTAAAGGGAATGACAGCAAGATGTGAAAGAAAAAGGAAATAACGGCAAACAAGGAATGACAGTAAGCAGGGAAAGAAAAAGGGAATGAACGCAAATCAGACAAAAGGGAATAAGCCGGAAAGTAAATGACAGCATACAGATGAAGAAAATGGTAATGAAAGCAAGTCGGAAAATAAAAAAGGAATGATAGTAAAAAAGCAAAAGTAAATGACAGCAGGCGTGGAAAAATAGAATTAAAAGAAGCAGAGATGAAAGTAAGGTTTTTGGAAAAAAATAAATCAAAATAAGCAAAGATTAAAAAAAGGGATTTGTAAAATGGAATGAAAGCAAACAAGAGAAGAAAAAAAAAGGAATGAAAGCAAAGCGGGGAAAAAAACGGATTGAAAACAAGCCGGGAAAGAAAAGAGGAATGAAAGCAAAATGTACAAGTAAAAAGGAAAGATATTAAAATTTTTACAAACACAACAATGAACACTCCAGATGATCAGTGAGTGGAAGGTTATACAATGTCAGGAAAGGGGGGGGGTATATCTCTTCCTATCCTGCTGTCAGTAAATTTCAAGGTTTGTGTGAAAACGAACCATGTATGTCAGTCAGTACTGGAGCAAAACAAAAAAGACATGACTTGTAGAATAAATTTAGGGACCAATAATAAAATTGTTCATTCGTGATTTACAAAAAAAAATTAAATAAATAAATAAAATAAATAATAAAATCAAACAATTAATAATCTCAACGAAACAACAGTTATTCCATTTTACATCTGCATATTCATGCCAAATGTCCGGTAGCCACTGTTGGGGATCAAGTGATAGCAAGTCTTTGGCTCGGATTGAGGAATCGGAGAGCCGAGTTCGAATTCCAGTCGAATGCATTGCATTCACTTAACGTGATAATACCCTTGCGAAAGGTATGAATCTTCTTCTTCTCTCCATCCTCAAAGCTATGGCAGGACAGACCGGGTTCTATAGCCTATAACTGGTCTACCGCAGAAAGAAATGGCAATCTACTGCGGGAAAAATATTTGCCTCGTCAGTCATGTATCGAAAGTTATATGATCGCCTAAGCGTGTATCACGCATGGCACATAACTGACTGAAGATTCACTCTGTCCAATGCCCGGGGAACACTCGAGGTGATCATCTCTCATCATCTTGCGGCCTCAGCCGAGATTGAACTCACCAATACTTTGATTGTAGTTCATAATCTTGTGAAATAGCTGAATTCTTGATGCTTCGCTAGGGCTATCAAGGGTGTTTTTTTTATCGTGACACCAACAGTAAATGGATTGCCAACCAAGGCTCAGAGAGACTCCATTCACCCTCATCTAAGAGCAGGTTTGAATTCAGAGTTTTCCTTCTCCTAGACCAGTTGCCACCCAAGGCTATAGAACCCAGTCTGTCCTGCTATTTACCCATAGAATTTTACACTCGAGGTAGATGGATATGTTAAGGGGTTGTTTATATGGATAGGAGGGGAAGATAATGGTTAACTCTAGACTTGAACAGGTTAGGATTGTAGTGATCGGGGAAATATCATCTTGGGAGTCAACTCCACAAGGTTCGCGGGAAGAAGCTGTTTGAGTGGAATTTACTTCTCGCTGATGGAATACGGAACTAATGTGGGTGGTTCACTACGGTGTAAATGGTATGGCGGGTCCTAGCCGTGAAGGTTAGACCTAGCAGAACCAAGGAATGGAACTTGATTGAGCACTTTCCATGGTAGTAGCGATAAAGCAATGATAGACTAACCACATCCGGACTGTGAGAGAGAGGTTGGAGTGAGGAAAGGTTGAACTTCATCAGGACTGGAAAGTGAGGACTGGTCAGCTCCTGCCACAATATGGCAACAGTACTCCATTTTCGGCCTGATCTGGCTCTTATAAAGGTAGAAGATAACGTCAGCTACTGGGGCGGCACAGGGAGCCAATCATTTTACCTGCATCTTTAGCAAGGGATCGTATAGAAGGGTTCCACTTGAGGTCGGGTGTGAGTTTGAGGCTCAATAAGTCTCGTCTGATTTAATCTATATCACCGCCTGGTCAGAGCAAATTCAATCTGTCATCGAATCATCACTTCCTTCAGTCTGGCGTTAGGATGGTATTCCCGTGTGTACGAATCTACCGGGTTAAGTCAAAAATTGTCTACACTTTCGCCATAACATATATTCAGGTTTGTCACTATGTCTTCTGCTCATGCGGGCTTATAGTTGGTACTATTGTGATCACGTGATCGAAGTTTGAGCTTGATCGCGCCAGTTTTATTCAAGTTGTTACAGTGTATACATAGCCGCTCCGCCAGCAGTGTGCACCAAGGAGGGCCAAAGTGATCCGAATCTGCAGAGAACATGCTACTTTATCGATGATAACTGGCCGGTTCGCCATTACCATCTCCCGAGCTTGCCGAATCTTCTCGCCAATGCTGGAGGTTAACGGGCGTCCTACCCCCTTTTCGTGCGTCACTCTTGTCGGGTCACTTTTAAACATCTTGATCCAGTCACACACATTTCTACGCGGTAGTGCAAGGTCGCCGTATTGTGTTAAAATCATTCGATGAATTTCAGCCTTTGATATACCTTCCGACCAGAGAAATTGGATCACGGATTGCGGTAATATAGATGAAATCAGTATTTTGCCGAAAAGCGGTAAAAGACTAATAGGGCGATCATTTGAAGGCACAGGGTATTCTCCAGATTTTTTTATCCTGTGATATTTTCTTCGTTCAAAATAGCCGAGAATTAGTTACAGTATCGAAGAAGCAAAAAACGAAGTAGAGGAAACAAAGAAGGTTTATTAAATACTCATATATAAAATGGAAAAAAACTTCAGTAAATCAAGTACTCCTCAAATCCCACTCTAATGTGGCTACTTGCCATATTTATAAGTAAGAACAGTTCATTATCACAGTAGTAGAGAAGAGCAGGAAGTCCTATTCTACAACAGGAAACCATTTTACTATCTTTTCCAAAAAGTTATCACAATTCACAAATAATAAAGAAAAGGAACCTGTGAAGAAGGAAATGAGGAACCACTCCACTATCTTTCCCAGGCAGACATGGAAATTCCTAGATAATAAAGAAAAGGTATATGTGGAGAAGTCAACAGGAAACCACTCCACCATGGAAAATGTAATGTTGTCTTTGTTCAAAATAGCTGAGAATTATTAAGGTCGTAGTTAGAGAGAGTAACAAAGAAACAGAAGACTAGGTAGGGAAAACAAAGAAGAGGTATTAAATACTCATACATAGAATGGAAAAACTTGAGTAAATTAAATACTACTCAAATCCCACTCTAATGTGGCTACTTGTCATATTTATAACTAAGAACAGTTCATTATCACAGTAATAGAGAAGAGTAGGAAGTATACTGAATCCTATTCTACAACAGGAAACCATTCCACTATCTTTTCCAAAAAGTTATCACAATTCACAGATAATAAAGAAAAGGACTATAGAGAGTCATAATTGCCTACATCCTGAAAAGACATGGCATTAAAAAAAATTCTACTATACAAGCGTATATCAGTAAGTTTGTCACATGACACATACTTCTTAGCAGAATTTTTATCTGAATGTTTCACTCTATAATGTTTTATCTATATGATTATTATTCACCACTAAATCAAGTGCATTGACAAGGAAAGTGATTACTGTTTTTAATGTCAATTTATAAAAATTCACCATGATTGACTGATTATGGAGTTAGGTTAAATATTTGAGAGTTTACATTATCTGAGTCAACAAGAAACCACTCCACTATGGAAAATGTTGTAATGTTGTCTTTGTTCAAAATAGCTGAGAATTATTAAGGTCGTAGTTAGAGAGAGTAACAAAGAAACGGAAGATTAGGTAGGAAAAACAAAGAAGAGGTTATTAAATACTCATACATAGAATGGAAGTACTTGAGTAAATTAAATACTACTCAAATCCCACTCTAATGTGGCTACTTGCCATATTTATAAGTAGTAGCAGTTCGTTAGCACAGCAGTAGGGAAGAAAGTACACTGAGTCCTATTCTACAACATCCACCTTTTAGTTCCTATTCCTCAATCTTACTGAATATGATTGTTTACTTGGATTCACCCCCATCCAACTGGTACATTTTCTTTTTCCTGCCGTGGCTCCTATACTACTTCGTTTGGTGTTATGGCAGCCACAGACAGACAACCTTTTCTCAACATAATCTGTCTTATATATTTATAAGTCTACCATTCGTCCTTGCTTTGAATATCGCCGCCACCTCTGGTCTGATGTTCCTTTATTGTCTGATGTTATTTAGTGATTCTTGATAAAATCCAAAGAAGAATCTGCAATGTTATTGGTTCCGAACTGGCATCTCGACTTCAGTCACTTTCCCACCACTGTAACGTAGCTTCCCTGTGTACTTTCTATAAATACTAACAGCATGGCCAGGCGTTGCCCGTGCTTGATTCAAAAATCGTACGACTCATACAGCAATCGCTATCCCTTGACTTAAAATATTTTTGCCCTTCCTTGCCTTTAAAGGACTGCCCTTTGCCGTGCTGATATTGCTACATGCCTTACTTCTTGCTTATCTCACAATGCGAATTTTTTCTAAGCTCTATACTAAACATTAAATCTGTTACGAAAAAAGAACTAAACAAAATGAACACAAAACGATCAGCTTTAAAAAAGGACTCGTAACTGGAAAAACCGAATGAAAAAAGAATGTTAACAACAAATACTTTTTCACACCCAACCCAGTTCTGCAGAATCACAATCAATGTTGAGTTTAAGCAAGCGAATGAGCCAATTGGAGTAAAGTGCCATGTAGATTTAAATTTTTCCCACTTGTGACGAATGCAGCTATCGATTTTTTTTTGCATGCTATCATACTAGTTAGCATTCGTGTCAGTCAGCTGTTGGTTCTCACGCTGGCCAATAGAATCTTCCTGCCTATTCGTGGCAACCAGCTATAGGCTCTCACTCTGGCCAGTAGAAAATGGCCGCAAACTACATGAAAAGTGTCGTAGAAGCATGAAAAATCGATTATTTCCACTATCGATGGGAGTTGGGAAATGCAAAGTCGGTCTTGGCCTTCCCGCTAACTTGGAGCATGTGCATGTAAATTTTGGTGCGAATCCGTCGAAAATTGCGGCCGTGCACACACACACACAC